CAACATCCACAACAACAACTTCATCAACCTCATCATCAACAACAACAAATGAAACAACCACTGAAACAACTACTGAAACAGCAACTGAAACAACCACTGAAACAACCACTGAAACAACCACTGACACAACAACTGAAATAGCAACTGAAAGAACAACTGAAACAACCACTGAAACAACATCATCAACAACAACAACTGAAACAACCACTGAAACAACATCCACAACAACAACTTCATCAACAACAACAACAGCAATACCAAGTCAGTACTATGTTAAATAATTTGTAGTAGTCCAAACGATGATTACTAGAAATGACGATATCTGAAAGTTTTCATTTTGGCTATTGAATGATCGTCATCTAAATAGACTAGATTAACCCTCAAGCGCCCACCTGGGATCCACGCGGACCCCAACTAGTTTCATTCTAATGTTTTACATATACGATCGCAGATCATATCACACCACTCTAGATATGCTCTAGTGCAGAGTAGTAGAGTATACCATAGAAAGCATTCGCTTATCTCCTTTAGTCTTCTATAAGATAAACTACCTTAAAGTACATATATACGCATTTTGCCAACCTAGGGTCCAACCGGACCCCATAATATAACATTAGTTTCTGCTTATTATTTGATTATAAATTTTTCGTTTTCATAGTTTATACATTTGTCCGCACATATGAAAGTATTCTGTAGCTATCTAATAAATTGTAAAGCATGTCAATGACTTTCTTTTTCAACATACTTGATGTTGGTACTCTTGCTACTTTTGTGGTATCGGCAACCAAAAACTCTCAATGGAATGAAAAGAAAAACTATCATCGACGTCTATTTCTAAGGGAATTAGGTCATGATCTTGTTCAATCGCATTTGGATCGATGACGATATCAACTGCAGGCACTTCAAAAGAACGTTCGAATAGCTATGCAGGCAATTGGACTAACAATAACTACTTCACAACCAACTATTGTTTCAACAGCTACTGTCAAGCAACGTTGTCATCTTTGTCCAAGAGAGCGTGATCGAAAGGTTATTACTCACTGTTCAAGTTGCAATGCTCCCTGTTGTCCAGATCATCACATAGTTGTTTGCACGATTTGTAGCGAAACATTTTTAGGATAAAAATGGATTATAAGAAAATGTTTTAAAAATAAAACATAAAATAACGAAATATAGTTTCTCTTTCATAAGCTACTAAGTCTGTAAGAGGCAAACTATATACCACATAATGCTATCATAGTATACTAGTTAAAACGCGTATTATATCTATCTTATTAGCTTGGGGTCCATGCGGACCCCAGGTGGGTGATAAGTGGTAGTCTTACAGGTGGGCGCTTGAGGGTTAAAGAACATTTCCTATTAGAAGCCGAAATAAAGCCAATTTTTAATAACTAGATTTGATCCGCAGTTATTTAAGTATTGAATGTTCGCGTCGTGTTCAACAGTATTAGAAGAAAACATTGTTGATAAAATGATTTTCATGTGATAAAACTCATTGATCATTTTAGTAATCATTTAAATTCACCCACTCTCGAGATGGTTCCAACAATTCTACGCGTTCAAGTACTAATTGACATAATATCGACATGAAGCATGCCTATTAACATCTAATCTCATGTTTTAGGTCGCATTTGTAAAGAGCTGAGTAATTCAAAAAAACATCGCAGAAGTATAAAATACAAACCTCAAATCTGAGAAAAACGCCTTTTATTATTATCTATTAACTCTTAATGTACTGATTTTCTCATGAGAAATATGTGAGAATTATACTCTGTTACTCACAGTGGCATCCTCATTGACACATACATACATCACTCATCTAACATGGTCAAAGTACATATTATTTCCAATGTGTTGGAGTATATAGAATGACTTTCACTCAAATTCTGATAATTTGATCATTGTTCCTCATAACTGAACAGTAGGGCCGTATTGGAGTTTCGCCAGTTCTCGACATCGAGAGAACTCGAAAGATATCAGTGAAATCGTTTATAACATATTTTTTATTAACTTAGTTTAACATTTCATAATGAATCTTATTTTAAGCATGAAAACAAAGAGAAGTTTATTGAAGGTTTCAAATCATTTAATCTGCCATCAATAGATAGACAACTTATACACATGAAAGATTCGAAACCGTTTTAAGAACAACATTTTTCACTCACTTTTCTGTTTTATCTAGAATGGCGAATGGCAGGAAACATGAGTGTCACACGATGTGATCACACAGCATCCATATTATCAAATGGATCAGTATTATTTGCTGGTGGATGGAACGGTAGCAGTTATATCAATAGTGCTGAATTGTACAATCCATCAACAGGCACTTGGACAACCACAGGAAACATGAGTATCGGACGATATTGGCACACAGCATCCACATTAGAAAATGAATCAGTATTAGTTACTGGTGGTACATTCAATGGTTTTAATGGTTTGAATACTGCTGAATTGTACAATCCATCAACAGGTACTTGGACAACTACAACAAACATGAGTATCTCAAGACAACGTCACACAGCATCCACATTAGGAAATGGATCAGTATTAGTTACTGGTGGATGGAACGGTAGTACTTATCTCAATAGTACAGAATTGTACAATCCATCAACAGGTACTTGGACAACCACAGGAAGCATGAATGTCGCACGATATATTCACACAGCATCCATATTAACAAATGGATCAGTATTAGTTACTGGTGGATTCAACAG